AGAAATAATTTTCTTCGTTCAATGAACGGTGATACTTTATCCAGATTAGAACTGACTTCTTTCGTTCAATGAACGGTGATACTTTATCCAGATTAGAACTGATTTCCTTCGTTCAATAAACAGTGATACTTTATCTAGATTAGAACTGATTTCCTTCGTTCAATGAACGGTGATACTTTATCCAGATTAGAAATAATTTTCTTCGTTCAATGAACAGTGATACTTTATCTAGATTAGAACTGATTTCCTTCGTTCAATGAACGGTGATACTTTATCCAGATTAGAAATAATTTTCTTCGTTCAATGAACGGTGATACTTTATCCAAATTAGAACTAATTTCCTTGGTTCAATGAACGGTGATACTTTTTCAAGATTAGAAATAATTTCTTTGGTTCAATGAACGGTGATACTTTATCCAGATTAGAACTGATTTCTTTCGTTCAATGAACGGTGATACTTTATCCAGATTAGAACTGATTTCCTTCGTTCAATAAACAGTGATACTTTATCTAGATTAGAACTGATTTCCTTCGTTCAATGAACGGTGATACTTTATCCAGATTAGAAATAATTTTCTTCGTTCAATGAACGGTGATACTTTATCCAGATTAGAACTGATTTCTTTCGTTCAATGAACGGTGATACTTTATCCAAATTAGAACTAATTTCCTTGGTTCAATGAACGGTGATACTTTATCCAGATTAGAAATAATTTCTTTGGTTCAATGAACGGTGATACTTTATCCAGATTAGAACTGATTTCCTTCGTTCAATAAACGGTGATACTTTATCAAGATTAGAAATGAAAAGATGCCATTTTTGTTTGAAAGAATGAAACTGGAAGAAATGTGTCCATGCCTTGAAAATCAATCCCCATCCTATATATTTGATTATTCGATTGGATATTGTTAGTGATTTTACACCTGACCTTGATGATTTCTTTAAAATTTATCTGTCGATCTTTTGCACTCGTGATTACATAAGTATCGTAAAATTTAGGTATTAAAAAATATCGTTGCTCATTAGAGGAGACTAGTCACTATAATTTCGTGATAAATTATCGGATAAATTTGTTCAGAATTTACCAACTAGTTAATGTTTAAACCTGTTTTTTGTGGCACAAAATCAATCAATAATGGTAAATTGGAAAGGATAATGAACAATGGGTTATATAATTTTCATGGTTTGTGTGCTTTTGTAGTTCTAAATCTTGTTGATTTTAGTATTTAATTATTCTTATTTTTATTTTCCGCCAAACTTACCGAAACAAAATTCTTGATTATCAATAAACGGACAGGAATTCTCTTCGCATCTTCATCTTCTTCTCATCTCCAAAAATTCTCATTTTCGAGACACCAAGTCATTTCGCAAACGAGCGCGATTAAAGAACGAACGAGTTGAAAAGCAGAAATGACTATAAATTAAGCCAAACGCCATAGAATGAAGAGAAATAATTCATTTTATGTTAAACATATTTCAAAATACATGTTTTTGCATGACATTTATTTTTTTCGTGCTCTTTAAAATTCATTCTTATTTTTACACATTTTTCTTCTCATTTCTTCAGATAATTTTTCTTTCTTTTTTTTCATAATTTTTAATTTTTTTATTCATTCTTATTCATATGTACACGAAAAAAAATTAATTTATCTCCTTCTATACTTAATTAAAACTTTATTTTTTCATTCCTACTTACTGCTGCTGTTTGGGGCCTCACACTGTAAAGTGTTTTGTTTTTTTTTTTTAATTTTCATAATTTTTATTCTGTTCTGACCGAGCTGTGAATGGATGAATCATTCAGCTAAATTCAGCTTATTCTGTTTGATTTTGAAAAATTATTTCAATTCATTTGGTCCAGTTTGATTCAGTTTATTCAGCATCATTCAGCTAGTTCTGCTCTATTAAGCTAGTTGAACTCTATTCAGCTAGTTCAGCTCTATTCAGCTTGTTTAACTTTATTCAGCTAGTTCAGCTTGTTAAGCATAATTCAGCTAGTTCTGCTCTATAAAACTTGTTTAGCTTCATTCAACTAGTTCAGCTCTATTCAGCTAGTTCAGCTTGTTAAGCATAATTCAGCTAGTTCAGCTCTATTCGACTTGTTTAGCATAATTCAGCTAGTTCAGCTCTATTCAGTTTGTTCAGCAAAATTCAATCAGTTCAGGTCTATTCAGCTAATAACTCAGCTAATTCAGCACTATTCAGCTTCATTAGCACCGTTCAATTTTTTAAGCACCATTAAAAAAAAAACAACTCTGTCCAGTACATATCTTCCTCGGGTCTCTTACTCTTTCGCATTCCATTTTTTTAGTAGTTTCTTATTCATATAAAATAATAATTTTTATTTCTCAGTTCATCATCGTCATCAGATATTATTATAAAAATTTTTTTAAACATTTTTATCATTCAAGAATGTTGAATAAAAAAAAAAAATGCAGAGAACAAGAAGACACTGAAGAAGAATGAAAAATTTACAATAGAAGTACATAAATTTGTTAGCTTGCTCACAAGTGTCTTATCTTAATTTCATTTTTCCTCTTACTATCGCATTGATATTTATTATTTCATGCATAGTTTTAGCTGAAGTTTTTAAATGAAGTAATGAGGCACTGAGAAGGGGTCAGTTTGGGTTTTTGGATGAGAATTTGCGTTAGATCTAAAGTGTGTTGTCTTCCTAATTGCTCCAATGGCTGAATGTGTATAAGAAAGTGTCAATTTTGTAAGAAATTTCAGGGTTGATGAAATCAAAATATCTGATTGACCTCCCCCCCCCCCCCCCCCCCCCTTCCTTAAAATCATTAATAAACATTTTGAAATCATCGATCTAGAAACCTTAAAAAAAATAATCAAATACTTTCCTTAAAGAGCAGGACTTAAAATTTATCAGGAGCATTCCTAAAAATGCGCCCACAGCAAAATTGTATCATCAAAAGTTTCCATCTAACATTTTTTCATGTTCCTCTATTTAGTTTTACACAAGAAATGATTGTTTACATGAAAATATAAAGCAGCAAAAAGAAGAATAAGAATGAAGAATGAGCGTGAAGATAGTGAAGAGATAGTTCGTCTTTTGTGTCGTTATCAGCACTCTGAAAATTGTGGCTGTGTGCTCTTTTTTTGTTTTGTTTATTTTCAGTTTTGTTGTTGTCGTAATTTACTCCACCAACATTTCATTCATATTTCATTTCCTTCCCAAACTATCTGCTTTTTCTGGTACGAATTGTTATTATATTCAATTTATATAATGTATGTTGTTGTCGGTGTCTCTTTACCCTTATGAATCTTTTTATTTAGAAAATTGTAAGAACTAAGAAGGTTTTATGGGAGAGGAAATTGCTTGGGTTGCATAAATGAGTTGAGAAGTTCATTATGGGAAAGTAGCAGTAAACGGATGATATTATGTGACGGACTACATTACGACGATATCTATTTTGTGAATAACTCATTGATCAGGATGTTCACGCAGCAGTCAAAAATATTTTTCATTTGATGCTACTTGTTACCAACCCTAAAGCAGTTCCTCATTCAAATTAATTTTTTATCTTTAAATAATTCAATCTCTTTCATCAAATGTCTACTTATTCTTCAAAAATTTACTGTACAGCTCAAACCACAATAATATTCTAGCAGCACTAACATTAACTTCTAAAATTTATGAACGCCAGTACAACTAATCATCAAGTTAAGCCTCATAGATCACTTGAATCTTCTTTCATGCAAATACAATTTTAAGCAGATTTTCGTTTCATGCAGTCATAAAGCATAAAAATAAAACGAAAGCAGTACAATTCTAAGTACCATCCATTAAGTCATAAAATCGATTCTTTATACTTGAATGAGTCAAAATCAATATTTTTAAAATGAATGTAGTTTAAATGTTGATTGTGAACAAACTAGAAGAAGTGGAAATGGGAAATGGAGTGAGAAAAGAAATTGCACAAACTAAACAGAACAAATTTTAAAGAGTTAAATGAACTTAATGTGTGAAATTGACTTTAAAAGAGCATAAAATGTTGGTTCTGAAAAGTAGCTTGGAAATGTATTTTAATGACTGAAGCAAAGGGTTAATTGGAATTTTTTTTGCAAATTTCATTACAAGTTATTTTATGAAATTTATTGATTTTTGAATATTTTTACATTTGTCATGCCAACTTAGGGGGTTCACTTATTACGGAACGTTTTTGGGGGGGGGGGGGGGGGGTCACAGATTTTGTTACGGTTCAAACAAAAGATTTTTTTTCATACTCATTTTATTAAGGGGGGGGGGTAGGGGGTCTAAATATTCGTTTTTTTTGTGTTACGTGATAAGTGAACGGCCCCTTAAAGTTAATCCTTTTGCCTGTATTATTGAACTTTGCTGTATTTTTAAACAATATGTATTTTGCAACTCAATTAAAGATCCAGGTAGAGTGCATCATTAGTGAATGAATGATTGAGTTTCTTCAGACATATCATGGTCCTGATTGGTAGAATCGTACTAGATCGGAATCTGTGGTATCTAGTCATATGTAGTCAAATCTGTCAGGAGTGCGAAAGAAAGGCATCTGTGGGTCAGTCAAAAGTTTGTATATCTGGAACCATCTTTATTAAAGACATGTGTTCGATTCTCAACAATGCCAACACTTAATTTGATAGCATTAAATATTGTCGATATGACATGAAATTGCACAGTACTTACAAACTCCCAAAAATTCATTCTAAATTGAATACACTTACTATATTTGACAGAAAATTCATGGAAGCTGCAAACTACCAAAGTTGCCAATTCCATTCACTTCCTAAAACATTGAAAAACCTACGAAAGAAAATCAGCGACGAACGAAATTCCAACTTCGAATATTAAAATCAATTCTAATCAACCATGAGAAAAGCAATTGCAGCATATCTGTAAAGAATTAACCTGAAAGTCATAAAAATTTAATTAAATAAACAAGAATTGATTTACATGGACATTTTTTAAGTAATTTAGAACAGATTTATTTTTTCTTTTTTCTTTGCTTTTAAATTAGTCACTGACTGTTCATTTTCTTCGTCGATTCTTTTTTTTTTTTGTTTAAAAAATAGCTTTTTACATTAATTTATATTTTTTCAGTTTATTTTCATGTTTAAAATGTTTTTTACTTATTTTTTTCTTGGATTAAATGAAAAAAGTTGTTTGTTGTGCGGAAAATTTATAAATGATTGATAATAATAGCAATAATAATAATAATAATTAGAGTTTAACATATACAGCATTTACACAATACACAGTAATAATCGTATTTTTATGAAAATTATATCTAAAGCCTGTAATTCATAGTCTAAAACTTAAAAACTCATTTTTTTACAATATTTACTTATTTCAATTTTTTTTGTCGGTCTATTATTCACGACGTTCTTGTGTATTTTTTGATAAGCAATTATGGAGTATTTGGAAAAGTCAGTTGTTTTAACAAATAAAAGGAAAATGAAATCAGCATATGCTGCACCCACTTCCATAATTGCCTAGCTACGTCACACTTAAAGCAAATTTTTTTTTTAATTTACAAATTTTTTCGTAATTCTTTTTCTGTGTTCACTTTTTTTTCTTATCAACTATTATCACTAAGTTTAAACAAAATCCATTTGGAAATGTGATTTGCTCAATACTTTTCATTTTTTTTTTTCATAAAAATTTTTTTATGTGTGTCTATTTGTTTTTCATTTCATTACAAAAGGAAAAAAAAGAAATCTTTTATTTTAGAGAACAAAGAGACTAAATGACTCAGAGACACATAATTGCGACGGCAATATATTTTGGTTTAATATGTGATGATTTCATGTGGGGAACTGAAGGTATTTAATCAGATGAATTATAAATTTTTCATTCCAGACTATTAAAATTTAAAACTTTTCTTTTTGTGCCAAAATGTGCTGAATCTCCCCACATCTAAACACATTACTTCAATACATAATATATTATACCAAATATGATGGTGCTTGTGGATTACTGCCATTAGTAGACGTCGAGCTATCAACAATAAAATTATTATTATTGCGCCATGTTGGAATTGGTCGATGTACGCTAGCATTTGAGCTTATACTCGATTGCTGTTGATGTTGTGCATGCATAAGGAGATGATGTTGTGGATCATATCCGCCATAATCGGAGTCAATGCTCGAGTAAATGTGCTCAGATGGTGCACGGTGGATGTTTTGAATATTTTGTGGCGTCTGTGGTTGTACTATTGGATTCGCTATGAGATGAATCGGATGATGATGATGCTGTTGTAATGTACTATCATGTCGTACCGGACGTGGACTAGGGGTTGCTGTCGTTGCCGATGAGTAATTTGTCTCATCCATTTCACCAGGCATATTGTATGCTGGTGGTGGCGCTTGACGATGATGATGAGGATACATCATTCCACTATTGATTGTGCCATTTCCATTGGCATGCTTAAAGCGCTCATGGTGCATGACCATATGATGATGAGGAATTGTATGTGATTGATAGTGTGGACGTTGATGGTCTAATGTGTAGTTATTTCCACGATATACAACCTCCACAGGCAATGCATATCGCAATTTATCCCAGAATTGTCTATCATTTCGTCGAATTCTCTTGACTGCTGATGTCTTCATATATGGCAACAGCTCAATGTCACTCTCAGCATCAAGTAACACATCCGGATCTTCAACAATCACCAATTTGTGTGGACGTCCACGTAATGACTCATGAATCGCACGTTTTAAGTCATAACGTGTCCATTCAGTCTGAAGAAAATTTCTCGTCAACAAAATGACAATTTTTTTCGATGCACAAATTGTTTCGAGCAATTGAATATAGGTCGCATCCTCAGCCAAATCGCGATGTTGTAGACATAACCGAAACATTGGTCGACCCGTTCCATTTTCCATTTCAGTTGCAATGTGTTTAATGATGTATTCTGTGTCTTTGGCGGAATGAAGAAAGACTGCATCATATAACTTGTCATTATCCTCACAAGGCGGTCCGAAAACACGCACACCATAATGAGCAAATAGCCATAGACGTAACGGTTCACGAAACACAAATAATATTGCGAATAATACAAGAAGGCAAATGGTAGCCAATAGCGTGATCATTAATGGAATATATCCATTCGATATGAGATGTGGAAGGCCAGATGAGCTATCAGCATAATAGTCGCTGCATACTGATGATGAGTTCAAGTCCAATTCGCGTTTTGCGCGTGTCTCTTCATCAATACAGAATACATCTTGAGAGTCTTGCACAATCATCGCATTGTCGGCTACAAATTGTGTCATTTGTTGAAGGAAACGACAACGGCAACTCCATGGATTTCTACCGATTGCTAATGCCTGCATTTGTTGGCCATTTGGAATCATTTGCCAAATTTGTATGTTGATTAATGAGTTACCGTCAATACGTAAAATATTGAGTGATCTCAAATGGGAAAATGTTTCATTTGCAATGAATGTCAGTTTATTATTTTGCAAGTATAATTCGCGTAAACGATGCAATTGCTCAAACTCATAACCATATAACTTTGAAATTTGATTATCATGAAGATACAATGTCTGCAATGATGTTAAACCGAAGAATGTTCTATTTCTAATGACCTCAATTTGGCTATTATTAACATACAAATGTCGCAATTTATTGTGTTGACGGAAGAGTCCACTATCGAGTTCTGGATAGTTGTTTCCGTCTAAATAAAATTCCGTTGCATCGAGCGGTATGCGTTGAGGAAATCTTTGCGTTTCCTGTTTACCACAATCAACCATATTTGTTCCCCACGTTTGATCATGATAGCAGCTACAATTCGTTGGACATTTCATATCACATTCACAATCTTCATAATCACAGCAACTGCAAAGTGAAAAACAATGTGATTCATAATTGCATAGGAATTCTGTGACATCGAGTTGCATTATTGGACGAATTTGTTGTCCTCTCGAGTGTGGCATAACGCATTCAATATTTGGCAGGTCCATAATTTTTGGATGTTGTCGCGATGTAAAATTATTGACACGTTGTATCCACTCCATATTACAATCACATTCAAATGGATTTCCACCAAGATAAAATTCCGGTAATGGCTCGTGTGCAGAACGTGATACTCCCGATGCCATGCTCGGTGCAATGCGTAACTGATGTAATTGTAATTTTGTCATACTATTTGCATACAAATCGACACGAATTAATTTTGTTTTATCGATAAATGTATTTGGTTGAATTTTGCTTATATGATTGTTATTTATGAACATCAATTCAATACTATTTGGCACATTCATTGGTCCAATTTCTGATATGCGATTGTGACTTGCATCGAGTGTCTTTATTTGAATTTCCTCTTGTAATTTATAGTAGTTGCCTAGTGACTCAACGTAGTTGCTGTGGATATCAAGCCACTTGAGATTTTTCGGGATGAATGCATAATCGAACCAAACGAGATGATTTTCAGCTAAATTCAACCACATGAGTGATGCGAGTGTTGAGAATATTCCATTTATATCTGATACGAAATTTCCATCCATACGGATTGCCTCGATTTCCGTATTACCATCAAATGAACCTCGTTCAATTGATTGAATCCGATTTTTGGCTAAATTCAAAACACTGAGATGTGGTAAGCTCTCAAACATGCCTTTGGTAATGTTCTCAATTTGATTATCGATCAGCCTCAAACCAGTCAATTGATTAAGATTCTGGAATGCACCGGCTTTAAAATGAGTAATTTGATTCTCGCCTAAATCAAGTGTCTTGAGTACAGTAAGACCTTTCACCGCATCTGGTACATCTGTCAATTGATTCGAACTTAAATCAAGCTCTTTCAAGTCCGAACAATTACTGAAGACCTTTGGCTCAACGATACTTATGAGATTATTATTTAATGTTAATTTCGAAAGCACTTTTAATCCATTAAAGATATTATCACCTAACGTATGTAGTCTATTCTCAGCAAGATTTAGTGTATGAAGATTATAAAGTGGTGCAAATGCATTATCCTCAACATATCCAATTGAATTGTTCCTAAGATTGAGAATTTGAAGGAAATACAATTCTTTGAATGTCCTCGAGTCGATTCGTGTAAGAGCATTGTGTGATAAATTCAAAATGATGAGTCGTATGAGACCAGCAAATGTTCCATTATCAACATGATGACTTGTCAGTTGATTCTCAGACAAATCCAAGATTAGCAATTGCTCGAGGCGATGAAAGAGTGAGCGTGGCAATTGGAAGATCTCATTGCCTTGTAAATGAATCTCACGTAGCTCCCGTGCATTGAAAAAGAGACCGTCTGGCAATTGCTCGAGATGATTATGGCTAAGATTCAATGTTCTTAATGAGTTAAGGCCTGCAAAAGCTTCACTATTCAGTTCACTAATGTTATTATTTTGTAAATAAAGATGTTGAAGTCTTCGTAACTTTGAAAGAGCCCAATTCTCTGGAAGCTGTTGAAGTTCATTGAAACTAAGATCTAGTGATTGTAGCTCTTGTAGCGATGCATCACCGCACTCAACTGTTGATGGTAATGTGAAGCCTAAATGATCTGTTGAGCGTATTCGATTACGCGTAAGATTTAGCACTTGTAGACTATTTATTGGACAGTAAAATCCATCTGGTATCACACGCAAATTTGAGTCAGAAATCTCGAAATAGACGAGCTTCGATAGGCCACTCAATGTTAATGGTTGCACATCTAGGGACCGTACTGATCCCCAATTTGAATTTCTTGTATTTATTGTGAGCTTCTTCAGTCCATTAAGTCCATCGAACGAATGTTCTGATAATTTTAATAATTTACACGATTCAAGCACCAGTTCACTTATACTCGTTAATTGTTTAAATATATTTTTTTGTAATTGACTTTCTATAAACACTGTATCATCACACACTATATCTAATCGACTACTGCCATCAGCGTCCTGCAGTAGATCTGCGTTATTTGTTATATCTATAGTTCTTATATTACACACAATATGATTTGTTTTATTAAATTCCCAATGGCACTCGTTCTGTGGACGATGCTGTGATGTTACTTCTGTGATTGTGATTGTGACAAGCGTTAGGAATACGATGAAAATATACTTGAAAGCCATGTTTATTTCTGTCTGTTTTCTTGTTTTTTTGTATCAAAAAGAAGATGCTTTTTTATTTCAAACTGCTGCTTTGCGTTGCCTTCTCTAATTTCCAATCAAAAACAGATAAAAACGTTTTGTTTCCTGCAAGACATAGAGAATAAAAGAGATTCTTTTAGATGAAAGTGAATAGAACAACAAAATGGATAGAAACATAATAAAGATTGACTATTAATTGGATGCGATTTGTATGGTGGGATGGAAGTTTGTGGTTATTTTTAATTTCTATGACTTTTTTTGGCAATTAAGTTTTGGATTTTTTGAATTTGTTTTTTGAATATTTTGAATATTTTGAATTTTTTGAATTTTTTGAATTTTTGAAATTTTTATATTTTTGAATTTTGGAAGATTTTTTTTGAATTTTTCGATTTTTTGAATTATTCTTAAATTTTAGGACAGACAATTAATGAAAATTATACAAGAATTTCAAATCGTTTTTCAACTTTTTTCAAACACAAAAAATGAGATAGTAAAAAAACTACAAAAGAGAATTGAGAAAAAAAAAATCCGTAGACCGACTTAAAATCTTATGAGGCAGTTCATGATATTTTTTTTCTCCATTCTTTTTCATCGTCTTTCTTCTTATTTTTGAGAAGAAAAAAAAAATTGACAAAATGAACAAATTCTCTGTATGGTTTCAGGTTCTTCTGTTAGATGACCAAATTCGATTGAAAGAATTCCGATCCGTTGTTGCCTTTATGCAATAGACAACAATGACAAATTTTATGGACTCTTTGTGATTGAAATACTACAAGTCCAGTTTGATCTGGTGCAATTGTGTTATGTCATTTAAGATAAATTTTCCGTAATCAATTTCTTTCATACTTAAAAGTAGGGCACGATATACTTTATTGAATAAGTTTTTCTTTGAAATGAATGAATAGAAAATCATGAAATGAATTGCGGATTTGAATTAATTATGTGAAATTAAATGTGGTTCCGTTCGGCAATGCAGATTTTTTTCTGTCTTCTTAAGTTTTTAAGAGAAAAATTTGAGTTATTTTTGGAAATTTTAATATTTTCTAGAAATATATGCGCACATTAATAATAAGATATGAGAATTATTCATGTGTTTTGATTCTGTTGAACATAATTTGCATGTTCTATTTACGTCCTATATGCCTAAATCGTGTATCTTTTGTCAAAACCTAGTACAGAGATTTTATTCTCTACATGAATGCTTTAAGATCATGTAACAAAAAAGATTCTTGTTAAATTAAATTTCGCCGTATTTTTCTACATATAACAGGCACTTTAAAGTGTCTTCATTTTGATGAGCAAAATGGGAAATTCTTGTTCATGATTCACAGAATTTTGTTATTTTTAAATAAATGAAATTTTTAGGCACACGAGCAATTTTTATTTTTTCAAAATGGATGCAAATGGAATCAACAATATTATTAAATGTTTGGATATTTAAGGATGCTTAAATGATTTTTAATATTTGAATAATTTTTAATAGTTACAAAAAAATTAAAATCCAATGAAAAATAAAATTTGACATTAAAAAATTCCAGAATTCCATAAAAAATAATCTCCCACACTATACACCGCACATACACATGTATTTCCAACATACATGAAGAAAATTTGACATTGAACTTTTTCAAGGAAAAAGAATTGATGCAACAGTTTTTTTCCAGCCATAAACACCATGAATATTTTTGTTCTTTTTCTCTCAAAAAACGGAATCACTTAAAACGGATTTATCTCATTTCTATCGCAATTTTTCACATAAAAAGCATCCAGCACAATACACAACATAGCAAAAATGTGGTAACAAAAAATAATTTTTTTTCCAATTCTTCTATTTTTTTCTGTTGAATTTGTCAAACATGGGATCAGTCTATTTCATGAGAAAGTTATCGATGACCTGAGAGGATGGATTCTTTTTTTTATTTGTTTAATGTTATTGTCATGTTGAGGCTCATAAAATTTATTTTTTGAAGAACATGGAACATTTAATTAATCAATCTGCAATTTTTATTTTTTCATGTTTCGTCATAAAAACTTCTTTTTTTCTCACATTAAGAATCAGTGGATATTACAGTTCTTGGGAGGTTTGTTTTTAGAACAATCTTGCCAGAATTAAACTTTAGAATTACCGGTTGTGCAAAAATACTCAAAACTAAGAAAAACCGGCACACAAAAAAAAATCTGACAAAATTCACACAACAACAAAAAAATTTCACAATAAAAAAGATTTTGCTACTTCCAATTCATCCACATGATTCTCATTTAAGCATGTTAATGAAAATTACAATTGGAAACAATGAAATAAAAATTGAGCTTACAGCTCATCATGCTGAATGTTAATTATTACTTTTCTTTTATTTCATTTCACTTCTCATTTTTTTTCACGAAATAAATTTTTTTGTCGATTGTAATGAGCGGCATAAATGTGCCTTTAAGACCTTAAAGATGTTGAAGAAAAATTACACTTTCTAATATTTTTTTCTTTTGAGTTATGTAAAAAATGTTTCATAAAATTTTGCATGTTGTGGCATTGTTATTGAATAAATTGTGGAGTTTTTGAAAATGCCATGCCTGAGTCGATAATAAGAAGCTATTGAGTGACGAGAAATTGCACGACATTTCAAAATATTTTCATAATGACTTCTAGTCGTCATCATCATCAAGAAAATTGAGCTCATCTAGACGTAACATGTTCTTTATCAAGGCATAGAATATTTTTTCACATCTAATCAGAGTATGAACGTGAAAGTTACTAAGTCTTAAGAATATCATACCGAAGAATAATTCTCATCAAGTCATAGAATACACCGCGTATCTAGTCATAGAATGTATACAACATATAATAAAGACACGGGGAACGAGAAGAATGAGTGAGAAACATGGATTGAGATAAGAAGAAATGGCGTTAAGCATGTCATAATGAGAAAATGTAATCTCACCTTAGAATATTTTTTTGTCATCAAAAAGCATTTATTTCTTGCATTCTGCTTATTTTGATGATTTTTTCTTTGAATTTTTTGTTTTAATTCCAATTTTTTTGTGTAAAACTTTTTTCAACTTTTCTTCTTAAAATAATTTTAATTTTTCATTTTTTTCTTTTCTTTCTCATAATTTTTTTAGAGATGAACTTCTTGATTTTTTATCATTTTGATTTATTGATTTCCACATGAATATTGATTCACTTCCATTTATTTATATTTGGATTTCTTATCAATTTTTTTTTCTCTTTCACAATTTTTTGTTTTCTTCGAACTTTACACAAATCCTTGAATTATTTGCTGAGTTCCTTGATCAACACTTTATGTATTTTTTTTTTCTTTTTTTGGTCAAACTTAAAAGTTTATCAAATTATAATTTTTCCGTCGCAATTCTTATGTTTCAGCATCTCAATTGCTAGTCAAGTTTATTGACTTTCATTTCTTTATTATTTCTTCTCAATTCATAAAATAAAATCAGCTCGCACGAAACAACAACAGAAAAACCGAACAAGAACTTGTTATGCTATGCTATAACTGTTATTATGGTTTCCATATATAATATTTTAATTAAGTCGCGGAGGAATTTTTTTTTCTTTGCTTCTCTCTTTTTTTTCTCGATTCTTTAAAAAATTATTATTATTTTTTCTTTTCTTTGAACGGCAGGAGCATAAAAATTTTACTGCCGACTTCGTTAAATGCTAAACACGAACTGAAATTATATTTTTCGATGTTTCTTTAAGACTCAAAAAATTGTATTTTTTTCAATATTTTTTTTTATTTTCTTTTTATTTTGATTTTCGTACTCAAAATGTGAGATGGTTTTTGCTCAATTTGTGAGAATATTTGAGAGATATGTTATGAGAAATGCATCATGCAGGGGAAATTTGCCTATTAAACCAGTTTTCAGATCCTCTCAATTCACGCTCTTACTCAATTATTCTCTCTATGCTCAGTTCCATTTCCCCTCTTGTGCAAAATTTATTCTCAACTCTCTTTACTGTCTGGACGCTCTCTCTCTCTATTATGCACTTTGCATGCATTCCTCTCTCTATCTCGTCCATTATGATTTTGTTTTGTCTCATAGGAGCTACTATAGGAGAATTTGAGAGACGACATGAATATTATTTTTATTTTGTCGTTCACAAATTTTTTTTCATCACTGATATCGCATCGAGAAATTTACGTTTTACGGAGAGCAGACAAAACTCTGCAGGTAGAAAAAAAAATCATTCTGTGTCTCCGTAACCTTGTGCTGCGATTTTTTTTTTATTATGTTTCTCATGTTGCTTGCTTGTAATTTCCATTGACTTGAGTTGGATGATTTTTTTTTTGGGCTGCAGAAGGAAATAATGTTTACAAAAATTATAGGGTTCGGCATTGAAAAAGACTGATGACTTAAAAAATTCTAGATTTGAAATTTTATGTCTGTTTTCGTTAATCTCGATTTGATTTGTGGTATTTTACACGTAAAAATGTACATCAACAGAATAAAATGAGGCTCTCAGTCAATTTGGAGATAATTTGTTAATGCACAGGGGATACTTTCGTAGACATTTATCCATTAATTTCATCCTAAACTTTAGGAAACATTTCCCTTAAAAAATATAGCCTTTAAAGTCATTTCGGGGAAAGGAATTGTGAATGAAATAAATTTGCGGGCAATTATTGGCACTTCATTGCTGACCAACAACAAAAGAAATGAAAAAAATTTCATTGATTTATGAGAGAGACTTTATAATATCAAGCAAAAGGGACTCAATGATTATCAAGCGAGCACTTTTTGGATGGTGTAAAAAATGAATATAAATGCACAAAAATTTAACTTACCCAAGAAAAAAAAATATGAGAGAAACATAAAAAGTGCAAAAATGACTAAAAGATAATGCAAAAATTCTGAAGGTTCCAGAGCCATAAAGCGCATAATGATGACTTCGCAAAAATTCTTATCAATTTCGCCTAGAACAATTTAAAAACTTTCCAGACATAGAAAGTCCATTCGCGTCCCAAAACGACCACCAAATCCACCTTCTGTCCGAAACACAAGAGACTAAAAGAAAAGTATATGATATGATAACTCAACGAGACACCGCAAAAAGGCAAAAAAAGAAATAAAGATGAAAAAGCCGGACAAGTTAATGGAGCGCCCTCGAGTCATTTCCCATTCCACTGTGTTCAATTCGTTCTTCTTCTACTCTTCCATAATACTTATTCAATGGCAATAATGGGATGACGATGATGTCGATGTAAGTGCGAGGTTCAAGCAACCACAGCACACACAATAATTTCTTTTCTGTTTTGCGCTTAAGTTGTTGCTGTTGTTGTTTGGTCCGAGTATATTGAGTTAATCAGAAAAAAAGGGAAAACTCATAAAATAAATTGCAGCAAAACACCAAAAAAATATGCAATTTATGCTCCGTCAAAAGCAATTACCGAATTTATTTCTTTCCTCACCACATCTCATGCGATGATGCCAGCTTTTTTTTTCTCATATGAATTCCTCGGGTTTTTTTTATGAAATAGTTTTGTAAATGTTGCGCTTTTGTAATGGATAATGGATATGAAGAAGATAACAGAGAAATTTTTATTTTATAATTTGCAAGTAGAATTGAATTTTTTTTTGGGGGGTTACTGATTATTTTTGTGATAAAAGCTGATTTTTTTGGATGTGTGAACCAGTGGTGGGAGCTAGAAATTTTTCAAGAGGTTCTAAAGTCTCAATTTCACATTAAGCCTACTTGCCCCCCCCCCCCACTAGCCTTCAGTGCAGTGTTGTCCAAACTGTGTCCCGCGGGAAACTAGTGTGCCGTAGAAATTTTTTAAAAATAACACGAGCCGTAAGCTGTGTGCGACTTTGGTCATGGCTTACACCTAAAGTGTGCCGTGGCTCAAAAAGTTTGGACAGCACTGCTTTAGTGTTTTATTAAGACTATTATAACCTCAAAACGTTACAGATTCAAATTATTATTAAGTTCCTTACAAAAACCATCCAGGAAGCAAAATTTTCACATCAAAAAAATCCAAACTTCTCTCAATCATTCTTAATGGACGAATATGAGCATAAATATTTTGTCGTGCTCATGAAATTGAGGGATTTGTCAGGTAATGTAACAGGTATATGCGAAAATTGAGACCGAAAGTCATTAGGACGTAGCATTAAGTCCATAAGGAAATGAGTGATTATAGATAGGCATCAAATTTAAGTGCCAAAAAAAGTATATTTCTGTCTTTACCCTTTCAACTTCCTTTCGACATTCTCAGCGAAGCAAGTTCAACACAATAATGTGAACTGTAGGAAAATAAAAATGAAAATCCTTTTTAAGCCATTATTATGCCATTTCATAACGTTCAAAATATAATTGCAATAAATATAAATTTTCATCTTCCATACGCCATTTCGCCTTTTTTTAAGCCCAAACCACCACCCATCCATCCCCTAAATGCCAAACACTCACTCGTTCTAGCACAGCTAGTACTTGCTATATAGTAGCGAAAAAAAAGAAATTATTTATCATTCTTATTCTCTTGTGACAGAGAGATATTTTAATAAAAATTTATTTGCACGCGAATTCATAATTTACATTTAACACTTCTTCATTTTTTATTGCCGTTGCCTTTTCTTTCCTCCTTTTATACTCTTCTATGGCTTTTTTCATATATTTATACTCTATTTTTTTCGCTGATTTTATTTTTTTATATTCTTTGCTTTACTTTCCTTTATCATGCGAAAGTTTTTCTCTCTCATTGACATGACTTGACTTTAGACTGAGGGGTCTAAAGTTTTTTTGTTGGCTCGAGGGCGATTTCGATGAATTGAGTTCGATTAATGATGGGGTTGATGGTCTTAGCAGTTTGTCATTGGACTTATGGATGTCTGTATAAATGAGGTTTGGGTTTCAAGGACTGTAGTGTCGTGACTTTTGTGTGAATCCTTAAAACTGATTGGTTTGGATTTTGTTGGGAAATCAAACCTTCGTTATCATAAAAGATAGCATTCTACTTAGTTCTCGGCCTTACTCTTGAACTGACAGATTTAATATAACATGACTAGATTAACCAGATTCCAATCCTCGACAGTGCTAATTCTATTCAGTAAAAATCCATATCAACATTCATAAACCTAACAGAAAGCGCTGCATAATCCAACCTCAAAAATCTCTCATTCCCCAAAAACTGCATGAATATTAAGGCATAATATATACAAAGTAGATTAAGTACTTATTAAGTCGCAAGATCGCGTGGCAATGACTTTTTTTTCTCAATATTTAAAATATCCCCGAACAGCGACAGCTATGATGACAGAAAATTGTGAGAAAATGAAAATGCAAAATACAGTGACTATACAAAAATGTAAAGAGACAGCGAGTTTTATGAGTTGAAGACAAAAAAAAAAGTGTGACTAAAAACTTAATTGTGGGATCATTATCTGTCTACAATAATACTTGCAGTTAACAATAGTTCGAGATGAGTTGTTAAATTTTCGCTTTTTAACACAAGCTTGAAATGTTTTAAGAATTTCGCTTCTTGGCTTGTCTGTCAGCAGCATTGGGAATGTCAGAGGAATTTTGTGATGGTGATGAAATATAGAAATGGCACTGAGGATATTTAATTTACTGCATACTTGCGAGAAGGAGATTTTATGACAGCATTGTGCAAAAACAGAAGCTCGTGTGTCTGCATATTCTCCTTTACCTTCCAAGAATCCAAAAAAAAAATATTGAACTTATTTGCATTTTTAATTATTTTATGAATTGTTTTGCATTTGCATCTTTCTGAATATATTTTAGACTTCAACTTCTGATGAATTGTAAAAGAAGTCTGTTCAGGAGCAGAAAGTTTTCTCTTTTGTAGAATGCGAGTGGATGTTTTATTGCTACCAGGTAGCTGCTGTATGCTTCCGTGTAACTCGTCAATAAAATCTCTTTTTCAGTGTGAATCCTTCTTTGAAGATAACAACGATTGTTTTCATGACTTTTACAGCACGTTGTAACTATTTTTGGCTTCAGAAGTTTTCGACTTTTTTGGTTGAAGTCGATTGTTTTATTGCAGCTTCTCGCAAATATTGCTACTGAAAATAAGATGATGAAGAATTCTTAGAAGTTGGGTATTGTAAATAATGCAGTTAATTGATAATTTTTGTGTATGGAGTTCCTCAATTTGAGAATCAAATGAAATAAAATCA